CCTCACGCAGCTCCTTGGCGTACTCGCGGGAGAAGTCACCAATGTGCTGACGCTTGGTGGCCTTCAGGTAATCGTACATGCGGTCGTTGAAGGGGAACATGGAGGTGGTAGCACCAATTTCAGCACCCATGTTACAGATGGTACCCATACCAGTGCAAGAGAGCGAGGTAACACCAGGTCCGTGGTACTCAATGATAGCACCAGTACCACCCTTGACGGTAAGGAGGCCGGCAACCTTCAGGATAATATCCTTGGGGGTGGTCCAGCCGGACATCTCACCGGTAAGCTTGACACCGATGACCTTGGGAGCCTTCAACTCCCAAGGAAGACCAGCCATGACATCGACAGCATCAGCACCACCGACACCAATAGCAGCCATAGCGAGACCACCGGCGTTGGGGGTGTGAGAGTCAGTACCGATCATCAGACCACCAGGGAAAGCGTAGTTCTCCAGGACAATCTGGTGAATGATACCAGAACCGGGCTTCCAGAAACCGATGTTGTACTTGGCGGTGGCAGAAGCAAGGAAATCATAAACTTCCTTGTTAATCTCGTTGGCACGAGCAAGATCCTTGTCACCTCCAACCTGAGCCTCAATCAAGTGGTCACAGTGGACGGTAGTAGGAGTAGCGACAGAGGGCATGCCAGCAGACATGAACTGCAGAATGGCCATCTGAGCGGTGGCATCCTGGCAAGCGACACGGTCGGGGCGGAGCTTCAGGTAGGACTTGCCACGCTCAATCTCCTGTCCGTGAGGGTCGTCAAGGTGAGAGTACAGAACCTTCTCGGCGTATGTGAGAGGACGCTGCAAGCGACGACGGACAATGTCCAGGTTCTCAGACATCTTCCTGAAAAGTTAATGAACATGTTAGTAACTGAGTAATTAATGCTGATTCCCAGATTGGTCGCATGAGCGGATTGTTTTGGACGGAGTGCAAAGGGCGTTGGTAGCATACTTGTAGTTAATGTAGTTACCCTGGCGGATACGTTAGCGAATTATGTTCCCGTAACGAGCTAAACAGCAGCGCTGGACTGGCGGAACAAGACCACTCACCTTCTCAGTGTTGGCCATCTCAACCTTCTTGTCGAGAGGGGAGTCGCCGACGGTAGCGAAAGCCCGGGTCCCGAGGAACTGCAGAAAAGATCAGTGAGTACATCTGCACTGTTGATGATGTTGCCATAACCACGACTTCTGAATTCCTCGCTGGAGAAAATCGCGGCGACGGGTTGAGATCATGGGATTCTTACAAGTCGGGACTTGGGGGCCTGTGAGACATCATGTCAGCTACTGGAAAATTCATATTTTGTGGTTCGACTCATCCTTCAATGCATCGCACATGAATGCTGATGCTTGAAGGATGAGCTGGAAGCTAGAGTTCACTTACCAGCGCACCGGCGCGCGCAAGCCTTGTGGAGATCATGATGGAAGCTCTCTATGTGAGTTGGGCAATGCCGCAATACATCCAACGAGAGCCAATCCAAGCAGCAACAACAACGAGCTGCAGCAAAGAATGGAGTGGAGTGGGAAAGTAAGTAAGAGAAAAGAGTTAGGGATAAAAGGGAGATGAAGCAGATAAAAAGGAAGCTTGGTGTGGGAGAGAATTCTTGATGAACCGGAGAAGAGGACCCGTAACCGCTCGTGACAGTACGGCTATACGCTTTCGGTACAATCGGGGCCATGCTTGCGACCGGAGACAAGGAAAGATGGCTGGAAGCCCGCCTCCCTCCATTCTTCTACTAAAGCTCACCATACACCAACGATCTTGATTACAATTGGAAAAATTCACTTGGTCTAAGGACCGGAGGCCTCCAAAAATGGATCCACAGGCTCATTGTTCTTTGAAAGGGGTTCATCATTAATGGCCTTGCAATGTTGCTGCTAGCCTTACAGAGCATACAGCACTCCCCATGCCCAACTTCATTACAGTACTCCGTAGGGACGGTATGGATTGATGTAATGGGTTTTACACTTAAGCGGCCTGATGCCCGTGCTTCCACTCTGGGGCATGTGAGACGGAAATGGCGGTAGGCCAATCATGTGGCAACCATTATCTATCGTCACTCTGATTCTGTACTGAGGTAACCCGGCAGTGGTCCACTGGCTTCATTTGCAGGTGAAGCGTGAATTCCATGACCAATACAGCTCATCTAGGTCAAAAGACTACTTGGGTCCTCTTCATGTTGAAGGATAGTACGGAGGACTTGTGTCTTATTCACCAAGGGCGGCAATCTTGACAGGTGTCCACTGGAAAACCTCGACAGCGGTTGTTCAAGAGGATTACTTTGCCTGAACCGCAACTGGACGATGCTAGCACGGAGCAACATGCCGAAAAGAATGAAAACGTCATAAATTACAGAACGTGGAAAGATGTTGTAATGACTGCATGGGGCTGTCCAGTTGAAGCCGAGTCTGAGCCGAGGCCTACCGAAGGGGAATCCCGCGGGCCGGTGCCAAGCCCAACGAGAACTTACACCAATCAAAAGCGAAGCAATTTGGGAAAATCCCTCTTCATGCACAGAGGCGGAAATTTCGAGACTGTTGACCCGCTTCGAAAGGCCTAAAACTTTTGCATCGTTCCGTATATCGGTGATAACAATTTTGTGCGCCCATCAGGTGAATAGTGTCGAGGCTACACTAGGTCTACAGTTATCCAAGATGGGAGCTGTGAGAAAGATTAAAACAAAGCGCAGAACAAGGTACGATATACAGGGACACACTCGTCATCACGTCGTTGGCACACTTGAAGATCAGATAGCTCTAACATCACTCGTCTCTGTAGGGACTACGATCAAGTCCGAGCGGACATTGACTCCCCCAAGCACCTTACGCAGTACAAAGCTACCAAGGACGCGGAGGATCTTCCGGGTCTAGGAAAGCATTATTGCGTCGAATGTTCGAAATGGTTTGAGAGCGAATACAACCTGGTCGCCCATACCAAGGGCAAAAACCACAAAAGAAGGTCGGTTATCGTAAACAGTGCGAACGCCTTCTTAGACCGATCACAACTGACTGAGGGATACTTGAACAGATTGCGGCTGCTGCGCGAGGAACCTCATTCACAGAAAATCGCAGAGGCTGCTGTCGGTCTGGGTACCGACAATGGGTTGCGACAGCAGGAAACGGTCGTTGACATGGAGGACTAGACTCACCCTATAGCCTATCGGTCATCCTCAACAAGGGACAACCCTCGATGGATATACTATCTTCGACCTTCTGTCTGGGCAGCAAACTCGGCGACAAACTCTGCATGACTGGCTGGGGCACCATACCTTCAAGTTATCTGTTTGAAGTGAAGGCGATACAATTGGTTGTTTCAGGGAAGCTCTTTCGTCCAATCAGCGACAAGCTGGGTCTGAGCCGCACATGAAACCACATGTTCCGAAATTCGCCAATTATCGGCGATCCCTAAGCCGAGCAAACCAATTCCGGTTTGCGGTGACCTTCAAAGCGCCGGTTTTCGGACCTCTACTAGCTGTGGCCCACATTTATTTGGGTCGGTCGTAGGATGAAATTATTTACTAGCTGCAATACCAGTTACAGCGGTATACAACTTGATCTGAATCATAATAATGTGCCTTCTGTTATATACTTCCAGTAACTCCGGCAACATAGCCCTGTGTCTGATCGCAGGAGCTGTTGAGATATTTCATGAACCATTCGTATGTTGCCCACTGTTGCCCATGATTAGCAAATGCCACTCTGGGGTGATGATGCTGTTGAGAACACATACCTGGACAGCGTTTACTATGAAAGCTCTCAAGCTACAAATTCCCAGGCCTCGATAGAATGCTTTCAACCCTTCGGATCGATACGCGGCTCTGGCAATCTGGTAGGAGTTCAATGTCTGTGGGTTGCTCTGTGAATGCACCAGTGGTCGGGACTCGGGAGCTGTGGCAATTGTCTGCGCTTGCAGTCTCGTCTTAATCATATCCAGGGGGTAGACGGAAGCCCATGTGGTCACTCCAGCAATGCCTCCGCAAAGAAGTACTTTCAGGGCAATCTCATGCGCATTATCATTTTCGGAGGCCATAAGACGCTTGCAGTACTCGTAAGACCAGAAACTGTGGGTGGCATAGGTAAATAAACGTCCGACTAGGACTGGCGGGGCAAGATCCGGGGAGCATTGTGCATACTAAAATCCATAGCCAATGGAGTCTCTGGCGCAAGTGATCACTCCTCCGAAGTAGAGACCCGTCAATCCTCGGGTCCGAAAGATGTCCTTGGCGACTGTCCACGAAGAGATCCCAGGGCGAGTGTCAAGTTGCGCTCGGCATTTGATGAACTCTGTGGGAGATGAGACCGTCCAGCTGGCCACCCCGCCAGCAGCACCAGCAAGCCAAATTTTGTAGAGCGAAACGCCAAAAGGGTTTGTGGGATCCTTTAATGAATCATCCATGAACATCAATGAACGATTGTAGGCGACGAATAGAAGCGCATTAAGCGCTCCATATCCGAGTATGGGAGCAGCAGCACCTGCAGAGTACCGATGTCAGTGCTTATGTCAACTTCTGCGTCGTGAGAGGGCCAACGAACCGCGCACAAGAGAGCTGACACTCTCAAACTGGCCTATGGTTCTGCTTGTTGATGCAGCTGCATCGACCTCGCTAGCTTGTAATCGAACCTTGACAACATCTAGAGGGTTGCCGATGATGATCCCAAAGGCCCCACTGAGGTAGCCCGCCCAAAAGTCCGACGACATGAGAACAAATTCTCAATGTCGAGAGCTTGAACAGTGGCTACCTACATCGTTACCTTGGATATTGATCTTACCATGGCTAATGGCGGGGTCGGCTACAATATCAGCACGTGATTGCGTGGTACTTTGGTGTTTGGTCAACGGCGGAGACGCGCCAAGTCTTGAGGACAACGCGTCGAGTGAGAAACACCGTATCGATCAACCCTGATTGATGACCACAGACAGCGACAGGGTAACCCAAGCAGCCACTCGGGAAGATTTTCTTCTATAGGAGAAGCCATCAATGTGAGTACCTTCTAGGCTATGTACGTCCCACTAAGTTGGATTGACAGAAATAGGTATCGCCCGCGATCAGCTGTAGGAATCGAAGGTGGAAACACCCCGTTATCCAAGCCACTACAGAGAAGTGTGTCATCCAACTCGATAGACCGTCTTTCAAAGCCTTTCAAATGTCCTGGCTCTGCCACCCCTACCCGGACTTCAGATAAGCCTGCGAGAAAACGAAGAAGAGTCAACTATGCGGGAGCAGATGGAGAGGTAGAGGACAACAGCGTCAAGCTTTGGACCAACGAAGAACGGCTTGCTCTTGCGACAAGAGATGCGAATAAATTCCCCGTTTTCAAGGTCAAGGATAAGGAAACGACGTTTAAGCAAAGATTTCAGATCCCTTTGATTAACAAGTCGTCTGATGCGTATAATTCTTCGAGACCAGCTCCCACGTTGGGAATGAGGCAAGGTGCCACTTTTGTCGTGAAACCACTACATGATCCCAGTGGAGAATTCGCGATAGTTCTATATGATCCGACAGTCGACGATATTGATGAGGCTCCGGAATCGAAGCCCGAAGACAAGGTCACCGAGGAAACTAAAGCCAAGCTGGATGAGCCGCTGATGCACAAGAGCCTAGCAGATATACTCGGGCTGAAGAAGAAGGTTGAATCTCGTCCTAAGGTTCCAGTGGTCATAGATCCCAGACTGGCGAAAGTTCTAAGGCCGCATCAAGTGGAAGGTGTAAAGGTAATGACTCTCTACATCCGCACCGACAAAATTCCCAGGAACTGACCCGTCTTCTCCGCAAGTTTCTTTATCGTTGTACAACCGGTATGATAGATAAAAATGCGAACGGTTGTATCATGGCTGATGGTATGGGATTGGGAAAGACTGTATGGCGCACTTTCTTTCAAGATATTGATCAAGCCTAACATTGACAGCTTCAATGCATTTCCCTGATGTGGACACTTCTTAAGCAATCACCGGAAGCAGGAAAGACGACAATTCAAAAATGTATTATTGCTTGTCCTTCCAGTCTGGTTGGAAATTGGGCCAACGAACTTGGTAAGCCACAACACCTTTGCATCAGTCCTTTCTATTAATACAGGTAGTGAAATGGCTGGGCAAAGATGCCATAACGCCGTTTGCGATAGACGGCAAAGCCTCAAAGGCGGAGCTCACCTCCCAAATAAAGCAATGGGCAATCGCATCCGGGCGGGCCGTAGTCAGGCCTGTTCTCATAGTTTCTTACGAAACGCTTCGAATGTATGTTGATGCATTAAAAGACAGCCCAATCGGGCTTCTTTTGTGCGATGAAGGCCATCGACTTAAGAACAAAGACAGTTTAACCTGGACTGCTCTGAACAGTCTGAATGTGACTCGCCGAGTCATTCTGTCTGGTACCCCCATTCAGAATGATCTCTCAGAGTATTTCGCTTTACTTCACTTTGCCAACCCAAATTTGCTGGGCTCGCAAAACGAGTTTCGAAAGAGATTCGAAATACCTATTCTAAAAGGACGAGATGCCGCAGGCACAGAGGAAGATCGGAAGAAGGGCGACGAGCGCTTGGCAGAGCTGTCCGGTATTGTGAACAAATTCATCATTCGCCGGACGAACGACATTTTGTCGAAGTATCTGCCGGTCAAATACGAGCATGTTGTCTTCTGCAACCTCTCCCAATTCCAGCTGGATCTCTACAACCATTTCATTCAGAGCCCCGAGATCAAGAGCTTACTTCGGGGAAAAGGAAGTCAACCACTCAAGGCCATTGGACTATTGAAAAAGCTATGTAACCATCCGGATTTACTTGATCTCTCTAAAGACCTTCCAGGTTGCGAACATACATTCCCCGAGGACTATGTTCCACCTGAAGCTAGAGGGCGAGACAGAGATATCAAATCTTGGTACTCAGGAAAGATGATGGTTCTTGATCGTATGCTGGCTCGTATCCGTCAGGATACCAATGACAAGATTGTCCTCATCAGCAATTATACCCAAACTCTCGACCTGTTCGAGAAACTCTGCCGATCGAGAGGCTATGGCTCGTTGAGGCTGGACGGTACTATGAACATCAACAAACGGCAAAAGCTCGTCGACAAATTCAACAATCCAGATGGTGAGGAATTCGTGTTCCTTCTAAGCAGCAAGGCTGGCGGCTGCGGATTGAACCTGATCGGCGCAAACCGCCTTGTGTTGTTCGATCCAGATTGGAATCCCGCTGCAGACCAGCAGGCCTTGGCTCGAGTTTGGCGTGATGGACAAAAGAAAGATTGTTTTGTTTATCGTTTCATTGCAACTGGGTCGATCGAGGAAAAGATCTTCCAACGTCAATCCCATAAGCAATCACTCTCGTCATGCGTTGTGGATTCGGCTGAAGACGTTGAGCGACATTTCTCGTTGGAGTCCCTCCGTGAACTATTCCAGTTCAAGCCAGAAACGCGAAGTGACACTCATGACACATTCAAATGCAAGCGATGCAGACCGGATGGAACGCAGTACATCAAGGCTCCAGCCATGTTGTACGGTGACACCAGTTCCTGGAATCATTTTGTGAATGATGGTGAGAAGGGCCAGCTCAGTAAGATCCAAGATCTACTGATACGCCAGGAAACTGGTGAAAAAGATGTGTCAGCCGTCTTCCAATATATTAGTCATTAAGGCTCTGTTCTCATGCTAATTCTCCCTTGGAGCACTTACAACTTTTATGTTAGTCTTTGGAGTTTTGATGGTCATCTTGATGTTGTGTTACGATCCTCGCGGTTAGAGCGATTAGGTACTCAACCTAACTTAGTACACCTGAATTGATAGGACATAGAGATAGATTTGAATACATTTTTCCCCCAGATGCATATATAAGTCGCGCGTGAGAGTTTGTACGTCAAGGTAGCCTGTCACTGACTCGAGTATTTATGTTCAGCGCTAAGGCCCGTTGTCGTTGATGGCTGACAACTACGTCACTTCGCGTCCACTAACATACCCCCATCAACGCTGCCAACGCATCTACGCTGTGAGTGCTCCCCACATTGCTATCGCAACGGCCAGACGGGCTTAAGCAGCTGACTTAGCAGTACGGCAGCCCGATTTGGTTCTGATCGTGCAGAGCTTGCAGCCTGGGATTGATGGTTCTTTCATAGCTACAGATCGTTGAGCTCGAGTCACCGATTCACCGCCAAGTCTAGCCAGAAATCGTCCCTCCACCATGAGCACTATTTAACAGAAACTCCAGAGTCGAGAACTCATCAAAACCTATGTTTATCTGAGCTATGGATCATTCGATTCAGCGCCTGCTGAACGACAAGCTCTATGATCGCAGAAAACAGGGAGCTCTAGAGTACGGTTGAACGATTCTGGTCCGGGGAAGTCTTCAACCGACAGAATACTGATTAGATCATATTCAGGCTCGAGAAAGTCGTTCGCAATGCCGTTTTCAAAGGAGATCATGAAGAGATTCATAAGATTGTCGATCAGCTCTGCCATGACTACGCCTACGCCGTACATCAGCCTCATGCGAGAAATGGTGGTTTGATCGGGTTAGCTGCCGCTTCAATAGCGCTTGGATCCGTGAGTCTGCTGGATAGGTTGCATTGATATCGTTGATGCTGAGACTGGACTGGACCAGGAGGGCGTTGCACCATATCTAAAAGAGATCGTACCACCTGTTCTTGCTTGCTTTTCCGACCAAGATGCCAGAGTCCGATACTACGCGTGCGAAAGCATGTACAACATTGCGAAAGTCGCAAAGGGGGAGGTTCTACTTTTTTTCAATGACATATTTGACGCTCTGAGCAAAGTAAGTCGTCCATAGCTATTTTCTCTGTTTCTTTGTGTTGTACAGCTGTCATGGACTAAGATCAACTTCAGTTAGCTTCAGATTCCGAGCTTTCTGTCAAAAACGGTGCGGAGCTTCTCGATCGACTTGTCAAGGACATTGTTTCGGAATCTGCTGCCTCCTACATATCAGTTTTGCAATTATCAGAGAAGCATACGACAGACCCTGATGCGCTGGAAGAGGTCGAGCTTCCGACTGCGTTTTCGTTGGCTAAGTTCATACCCTTGCTTAAGGAACGGATACATGTCATCAGTGCATCCACACGCACTTTCTTGGTGTCATGGTTGACCTTGCTGGACACCATTCCCGACCTGGAGCTTGTGTCATATCTGCCCGAATTTTTGGGAGGATTAATTGAGTTCCTTGGTGACCCGAACAGAGACGTCAATGTCACCACTCAGACTCTTCTCGACAGGTTTCTGTCTGAAATCAAGAGGATTGCACGCCTCAAGAAAGGCATAGAAGAGAGTCGGAAAGAGCAAGGGAGCGACAACAGACAGTCAGCCGCGAGTGATAGTGTCAGCACTACTACTGATCACACAGTGGCTGTGGACGCTGAACGGAGTGATAATGCTGTCGAGGACTCCGAGCCTGAATCAGAACTTGAGGAAAATGACTTGCAGGTTGATGGAGACTGGATCCCAGGGCAAGATGTCCACATTGACTATCCCAAGATTTTGGACATCCTTGTGGGGTTTGTCGATACCTCTTTCAGTAAGCAAACTGAGTGGTGCATTATGCCATAGCCGCATACTAATACTGAGACAGATGAGGAGATGCAGTTAACTGCATTACGCTGGATTGATAGCTTCTTCGAGATTAGCCCAGAAGACATCCTCCCTTTCGTTCCACGTCTCTTGACACAGGTTCTCCCAGCAATGTCTAGTGGCTCGGACCAGGTGCGGCAGGCCGCAAACCGTGTCAACACATCATTGCTTGAGTACATCGTTTCCTTGTCTGAGGATACCACCGAGGAAACACGACAGGGTCCCCCTTCCAGGCCAATATCCACGGCAAGCAAGGAGCTTGTGGAGAGAAGAGCATCGACACCAAGTGGTCGTCGCTCTGTCGAAACGTCCATGAGTGAATCGAAAAAGCAAGCCTCTCAACAAGAACCTTCCAATGAGCAGACACCTCGTAGTAGTGTGATATCTACACCCATTCCTCCTGCGGATCTGGATTATGCCGCTGCCGTCAACTCGCTGACTTTGCAGTTCCTGAATGAGAATGAAGCCACAAGGGTGGCCGCCCTATCTTGGTTGATTATGTTGCATCGGAAGGCGCCGAGGAAAGTGGTGGCATTCAACGATGGGACATTCCCTGCACTTCTGAAGACGCTGTCGGACCCTGCGGAAGCTGTTGTCACAAAGGACCTTCAGCTTCTTTCACAAATCTCGAGAAACAGCGATGATAGCTACTTTACATCTTTCATGGTCAATTTGCTTCAGCTCTTCTCTACCGACAGACATCTGTTGGAAGTCCGAGGCAACCTGATCATTCGACAACTCTGCATGAATTTAAGCCCAGAGCGCATCTATCGGACTCTAGCAGACTGCCTCGAGAAAGAAGAAGTTAGTTTCCCCGGGTATGCAGTGTTTCCAGGTGTTGACTTTTCTGTTGTTTAGGACATCGAATTTGCAAGTATCATGGTACAGAATCTGAATAATAACCTGATCACTGCACCTGAGCTATCAGATCTCAGAAAGAGGCTAAGGAATCTTGACTCCAAGGTAAGAGGACCTCTTGAGCCGACAGCTGCAAACAGTTACTGATTTATCTCAAAAGGAGGGTCAGATGTTCTTTGTGGCTCTGTTCCGGTCATGGTGCCATAATGCTGTTTCTACATTCTCCCTCTGTCTGCTTGCACAGGCTTATGAGCAGGCTTATAACCTTCTTCAAGTCTTGTACGTGAACCGGTCCTTTCCCCCATCTCTGATGGTGACTAACGTAAAAACAAGTGCTGAGCTTGAGATGACTGTGAATATGTTGATACAAATTGATAAACTGGTTCAGCTCTTGGAGTCGCCTGTTTTTACCTGTTAGCCCCCTTCCTACCTACATGATCCTCGAATTTTGAGACTAAGGCACAGCAGATCTTCGTCTCCAGCTTCTCGAACCAGAAAGATATCCGTATCTGTACAAGTGTCTCTACGGCGTTCTCATGCTACTCCCTCAAAGCAGTGCATTTGCTGCGTTGAAGAATCGTCTCAACAGCGTCAGCAATATTGGCCTCCTGCATACTGGCCCTCGACTGTAAGGAAAACCCTCACCTAGTGCAAGGAAGCTGAGCTGACAATGAAGCAGTACAACAATGGTGTCATCCTCATCATCATCGGGCTACGAACGCGCCACTGGCAGTCGACTGAAAAGCCGCGAGGAAAACACCATCCGGTGGGTCGAACTCCTCGACAAGTTCAAGTCCGTCCAGGAGAAAGCCCGCCGTTCGCAACGTGCCTCACAACGGCAGTTCGACCAGGACGGCAGCACCGCAGGACTACGCAACCCCTCCCTTACGGCCGCCCTGTCCGCCGCTGCAACAGCCGACCAAGCCCGGGGCAAGGAGCGCGCGCTGCCGGACACGCCTCGAGGCAGCGGACCGGACATGGGTGGCTCGGGTGGGCGCAACAGCACCGGAGACTCTGGCACACCGAGCCGTGGCTCGCTCCTTAGTGGTACGCAGAGGCATAAATCGGGGCTTCCTAATCTCGGTCGTCTAGGTATCGGGAGCAGAAAGTCCAAGCGTTGAGAGAAACCAGACTTGTCTGCGCATAATCAGGCTGTGTGCCGTTGATCTTTTCGAAGGGCTACAACATGATGATGCCATTTGCGCTTCGGATGTTTCCACCTGCCCGCCGCTTCCTTTCATGCATACCCCAGTGCCTGTTACATGGAATTTCGTCGACTCAGGTGGCGTGGTTCGAGAGCCAGACTATATCTATACCCACAGTGATTTCCATACAGACCGCATTACTACAGTGTACATGTCTTTTAATTGCAGTGCTTGTGGAACAGCAACTAGGTTTGTTCAAAGCTCTAGTAGTGATTGACTCATAATATTCGAGTATAAATCCTATGCACAGTTGTCCAGCGCTCGCCACGGGGGAAAATCCATTCCGTATAAGTCATTGCGACGACTCGCTAAGTTCGCACTCACGTATAATAAAGCAAAAAGGGAGGGCAAAACGCCCAAAAAATGTAAATGTCGAGGAAAGAGTAGAGCGTGGAAGTGTCACGTTCCCCCAAATCAAATCTCCAAGAGAAGGAAAGAAGATCGTGCGAAGATATGTATATGGTTGACAGCGAGGTAGGCAAAGTGGTAAATCGGTATAAAGTCAGGTCATTCAACAAGGGCGGCCAAGTCCATTGACTTGGATCTAAAATGATCACAGATCACGTTGGGAGGAAAGTAAGGGCGCATGTCTTCTATGTCGCTTCGGGGCGGGCCGCCTGTCCCCATAGAAGAACGCGAGAAAATCGAATAGGGATCATAAAATGTTTTTTTCCCGCTCGCTTCCTTTGTCCGGATAGGGAAAAAGCAAAGCATTCAAATGTGATCGGAAACGTCATCATATCCTCCGCACAAACATAATGCTGAGAATATACAAGGGCAAATGAGGAGAAGAGAAAAAGAAGAGAAAAAAGAGGCGTCAGGCTGTCAGATTGGTTCGTCACCGCCATCGCGACTCGGAACCGGAACCACCCCAGGTCGGGGCCTTCCAGTAACTGCCTGTGGAATGCTTGGAGACGGTTCCTGTTGGCGAGTTCGAGCCGTTGGAGTAGACATATTCGCCGTCAACGTATTGGACACCGGAGAATGTGCTGCGGTGCT